AGGTGTGGCTTTAGTCCAGCGCTGCCAGAGCTCTGGGCAGATAGTCTGCTAGTGTTTCCTTTCCACTAGACTCGGCGGCCAGAGGAGGCAGCTAGGACCAGCTCTGGGCCACTGATGCTGGAGGTGTCTCTTGAAGCATCTTGCAGAATGTGAACAATGAGGTAATGGTTCACAGGGCAGTAGACTAGAGGGTTTACCAGCATCGCACCTCTTCCTAAGGCTCTACCCTCAGGAAGAGCTGGTGAGATTGTCAGGAAACATGGAGAATGAAGGCCAGACAGAGAGGGCAACTCAAGTACCGAGAAGGGGCCCGCTGGCCACCTAGCAGCCTGGGGTCTCTGATGACCTGTGTCCCAAGGGCTGCTCCCACTTCGAGACCTTGGTGCTTGCTGCTCCCTCTTTTTAGAATGCTCTTCCCCTCAGATCTTCCCTTCGATGTTCAATGTCTCAATGGCCATGATCTCAACTTAAATGTTACTTCTTTGGAAAAGCCTTTCCAGACCACTCCATTAAATTACCACCCTCATCCACCAGCCATTCTGTCTCTTACTTTGTTTCATTTTCTTCATACTCTTTTCACAGTCTAAAAATAGACTGTTTGCCTGTTTTTACTGGCCATCTTTGCCCACTCAAATGCAAGCACAAGGAGAGCAGAAGCATTGTCTCTTGTCTGCTGTGCCCTCGCACCCATCACAGGCCCCTGCACACAGTCACAGGGCCCAGTGAATGTAGGATTGACAAAGAAATGAACAGGGACAGACCAGAGAACTTTAGATTTGAGCTTGACTCCTGGAACTCAGTTGGTGGGGGAGGTCCAGAAAGGATCCCCACCCCTGCAAGACGTTCAATGACTGAAAAGTCAGAACGTTATCTCTAGATTAAAATGGCATCCTCTGATGTGGTCTCTGTACATTCGGGAGGGATCAGGGGCCCTCTTTCTTTCCCCGCCCATTCTGTAAATACCAGGCAGAGGAGCACTGGCCTTTCAGAATTACATCCTCTCGGCTTCCCACCTGCTGACTTGCTTGGGCTGGTGAGTCAAATTCAAGTTTTGATTCCCTGGGCTCAGGGGCTGGCATTGAGGGGTGTTTGGATGGGGGAGTTGCTGCCCGGAGTGTGGGCCTTTCTCCCTCTGTTCTCAGAAGAAGACAGAGAGGCTGATGAAAGGGGAGGAGGGGTCCCGCATATCAAGATCAGTATGAGAAGGCCATCCCAGCCTCACATTTACTCTTGGAAACAGTATTATGTATTAGCTAGCCTCAAGCATTTACCACCTCAGCAAGGAGTCCATTTCACTGGGGACCTTTGTTCCAAATTGAGGGGCCAGAGGAAGGAATGCTCAGCGCACTGATCAAAAATGTGAAATAAATCAAGCCAGAGGAGTTTTTCCAGTGACTGGAGGTCCCTGAGGAGCACTCTGTTCTCATTTTATCCCAACTGGCTTCTATCTCCTCCAAAATTCTTAACAGTGCAAAGACTTGGTCCCTGCATGAGTTTCTATCTGCTCGTCTGTGGCTGGAAAAATGGAAAAACACCAGGATATCTCAAAGAGATCAGAAAGCAGCCAGAGCTGTTCAAGACTGCACGTACCATCTGACCCAGCCAATCACAGAGTCTTAGAAACCAACAGGGAGCCAGCAGAGAAACCCGGGCCAAATTCACAGCATCCTGTTTAAGCCTCTACCATCCATCATTGTTAGTTGCCAGTGACTAAGTGCCTGCTGCGTGCTGGACTGACAAAGGAGACTCTCCATGAGGTGGGCTGTTGGGGGACGGTGGTGGAGGAGGAGGGGTACCACAGTGGTGCCGATCACCTGCCAGGCTGTGTGATCCAGAGCCAGTCACCTTCCTAAAGTGGGCCTCACTGTGGATGGCTCGTGGAATGATGACCCCTCAAAGACGTCCATATTCCTTCCAGTCCTCAGAACCTTGAATCTGAAAAAGGAAGCATGACTCCGAGGGCGGAGCCAAGAGAACAGAAGCAAAGGGACTTTGCAGATGTGATTAAAGTTCAGAGCTTTGAGATGGGGAGGTTATCCTGGACTATCCAGGTGAGCCCAGACTAATCACATGAACCCTTAAAGGTGAAAAGGAAGGCAGATGAGTCAGAGAAACAGAAGAAGGACTTGACTCACTATTGCTTACTTTGAAGATGGAGGAAGGGGGCAGTGAGCCAAGAAATGAAGTGGCCTGAGAAGCAGGGATTGGGCCTCAGCTTGCAGCCAGCAAGAAAGCAGTGGCCTTGGTCCTACAACCACAGGAGCTAAATTCTGCCAACAATTCTGCAGAGAACCAATTCTCCCCTAAACACTCCAAAAAGGAACGCAGACTGACGATGCCTTGATTTTATTCTAGGGGGATCCATACTAGCTTTTTGATCACTTTAAAAGCCATTAATTTGTGCTAATTTGTTACAGCATTAGAAAACAAAAGCACGGTGTGATCCTGAGTAAGTCCCTCTTTCAAACTGGGCTTCAGTCTCCAGTCACCTGGAGAGGATACAAAGTGATCTCTGAGGGGCCAGCCAGCTCTCAAAGACTGACTCTGCTGTCCTGACATCCTACCCCACCTAGAGCCCTGCCCCAGGTCAGGTGGGGTTGGGTTGAAAACAGCCAAAGAAAGCACAGAAAAAGAATGAGGGAAAGAGGATTAATCTTTAAAAAGCCTCAAGCTGTCTCCTAAGGTGCCACCGAAGGTACTCAAGAAGAAGGATCTCCTGTTTTTAACTCCTCACGTCCTAGACCATACCCCAGAGGAACAAATCCGGAATTCTGGGAGGACTAGAAACATGCTTCACAATCCTCAGCAGAGGCTGTACCAGGACAGAGTTAAGAAGGATTCCCTTGCCTTGTGGAGGTGTCTTGAAAGTCCTGATTATCTGTGTCTGCCTGAGGCAGGGAATTAGAAGTAGTGATGTGTGTGCCAGCTATGTGTCATCATTAATTGAAACTGATTTGGGGAACCCAGTTTAGTCTTCTATTTCCTTCTCCCTCCTCCATTTCTTTCTGCCTGGTGTAGTAGGTCACCAGCAATTCACATGCCCAGTCAGTCACCCAGAGTCCAAACCAACAAAATAAGGACACTGTATCCATACACCACTAAGCAGTTTAAAGTACACGATTTAGTCACTGAATCTCTTTGGCTGCTGTTTATATGCCACACAAATACAATTCTGACCTGTTCCCCTTCCCGGCTACCTAACCCTTAGCCTTTCTCTTGGATATACACCATTCTCACTTGAGGTTCACTGTCTGTTTCCTTAGTGAGCTGGAAGGGTGTTAAGGTCCCTAGTGATTCACTAGTCCAGTGGCTGCCAAATGTGCACTTAACTCCTCCAGGTCACCCTGTTAGTGAATGACAGGGGCAAGACCTGAACCCAGAGCCCCACAATTCCAGTGAGGTTCACAGGCCCTGGAGCCAAACTGCCTGGGGTCAAACTACAACCCTGCCACTTACTTCCTGGGTGATCTGGGTGAGTTACTATTTGTGCACCTCAGTTTCCTCATCTGTAAAATGGATGCAATGATGGTCTCTACGTCATAGGACTGTGGTCAAGACTAAATGGGTTAATACATGTAAAATGCTTAGAACAATGCCTGACTCATTGTCAGCACTCAATAAATGTCAAGTATAATCATTATTACATTATTCAGCTTACCTGGCCAATCAGGGCAGGGGTCAGCAGGGTGTGGCAATACCAACATTTACTCTTACAAACTGTGAGGGTGAGTACACGTGTTCATCTTTGATACCACTGCCAACTGTGGCAGTGTAAGACCAACCAAGATAAAGATCCTCTTTCCTGGGAAATATCTCCTATGTTTGTCTGTTTTAACCCATGGAAAAGAAACAGAAGCACTTTTTCCTTTTTTTAAAGAAGGCTCAGAATATGGCTTGGAAAGCATCTGAGGCTGTGACTACCTTTTTGCCCCCTTGGTCTGGCACTCTTGGGCCCAGTATGTGACCCAACCACACTCGGCCCCTACAACCTCTGATTTGTTTTCTGTCTCAAACACCGCATCACAGCTCAGTGATTCTCAAGCCGGGCCAGAGAAGGGGACTCCCCAGGCCTTTTATGCAGTGGAGCCGACCGTGTTGACGCTCTGAGAGGACAGTGTTGGGAAGTTCTGATGCGGCATGACTTATAACCTCCATGGCATGATTCATAACCCCAAGACAGCTCGAAACAGGAGGTCTCAGCTGGAGCAGAGAAGCGCGTCTCTTTGGCCTTTTTTTTTTTCTGGTTGTAACTACAGAAGTCCATGACGTCCTAAGGCTCAGCTGGCTGTCTCGTACATGCTCAGAGGATTGCTGAGTGGCCTGAATAACCCAAAGAGCATATAGTCAACCGCAGATACCTATCTGTTCCAGCTCCACTTCCTCATTTTACAGATGGGAAAGGCGAGGTCCAGATAGGGAAATCCCTCAAGGTAACTCAGAGTGTCTCCTGACTCCCAGGGAGCTGCTCCCACCCCAACCCCTCACCGCGAACCCCATTCAAGTGTTCACAGTCCTTCTGAACTATTTACCCACTGCAGTGAGACCACACATCATAGCAAATGTTCAGGGAATCTTCACTACTTGAATGACTGAGCAGCAATCACCACTACAGCCTAAGGCTTTGAGGAATCTCTAGACAAATGGGACTCAAGAACCCTCAGGGGCCAACGACTAGAACTATCAGGAAGATATAGATGGGGCGGCATGAGTAAGGAGAGCCCAGCCTGGCCACTCAGTCCAGGTAACAACCTTGACAGCTGTACAGGTTGTTAACGGTTTACACCTCTCACTCTTTGGCTCAGTAAGCAGTATTGGGCGCCTGTTCACCAGGCCCTGGCCAAGCGCTGAGGATGGGAAACAGCCTGTGCCCTTAAGGAACTGGTGGAGCGGGGTCAGGGGTGCAAGGCAACTGGCAATTGAAACGACCAACCGAGTCCTCAATAATGAAGCAGGAGGGAGCTTGGAAGGAGGGGTTCTCTCCAAGATACGATGCACATTCCCTTTCTCATCTGATTTGTGTGCAAAGAATATTTTCTCCGTTTCACAGATGGATAAACTGCTAGAGACCGACCAGGGCTGGAATCCACCACTCCTGAATCCAAATTCCTGGTGCCTTCCACGCGGGGCTTTGAGAAAAGTAGGACAAACAACTGGCCGCTCTGAGTAGTGCAAAGACCCAAACTGCCAGCGCAGCGCCCACGGCGGGTGCTCAGGCCGGGGAACTGAGCCCTGACGCCGCGTCCGGAGAGCAAAGCGGCAGCAGAACCTGCCCGAGGAGGGGGCGCGCAGGGGGCGCGCTTCCCGAGACGGCGGGGGCAGGGAGACGGGAGAGCAGCCCGCCTCCCGTGGGGCTGGAGCCCACCCATCCAAGCCCCGGCCTCCCGGAGCACCGGACTTAGAGGCGGACAGCAGGAGAAAAGAGAAATGCAAAACTGATGAAGAGAGAGAAATGAGGAAGAAGTGGAGATAAAGAGCGAGCAGTTGCGAGGACACTGGGGGAGAGGCAGCACCAGAGCAGCCGGAATCCCACGCACGACACCGGATAACCCACTCACCCCGAATCCACACAGCAGCTTTGAAAACCCAGGGCCCCCACCGCAGCTGGATCTCGCCGGGTCTAAGAAAAGTTCCTGGGGCAGAGGCGGCTGGAGCGCTTCTCTGGAGATCCGGCAGCGGGGTGCCCCCTCCAGCCCTGGGATCTCGGCCGCGAGCGTGCCGTGGCTCCTCCGAGCCGGGCAGGCGGGAGCGCGCAGGAGCCGGGCTCGGGTGGCTCAGGAATGCGCGGCCGCCAGGGACCGCCCCCGGAGCGCGGGGCCCCGCTCGGCTCCGCCCCC